AGTTCCATAGATGCAAAAGAATAAAATTGCCACCAGGATAGATAGCAAGGATCTCACATACCAAACTTAGTAAATATTTTTCTGTGATTATCTCTGTGCTGTAAATATGAACACACTTCAAGAATGCCTGGTAATCATCTGAACTACGCAACCTCTCCTTCACTTGCACACAGAAAATGAACTCTTGCTTGTACATGCCTGGAATGATATTGAGCAAACCATAAATAAAAGAAGTTAAGAAATAAGAGTATAGCAAGCTTATTCAACATGTGGCAGCAATCCAACTGAAAACTATAAGAGAGAAGCTGACATTTTTGAACTTCAAAGCTGTGAGATAAAATGAAGCATATGCATGTTCTGCAAAGAAATCAAACAATAAGCAACATGGGGAGATCAGAGTTCAGGAAAAGGGGAAATGAGATAAAATGAAGCATATGCATTCTCCATTAGTGCAGTCATTTTCCAACCTCCAAAAAATTCCACAACATTTTAAAAGATTTAGCATCATATATATGTGACACAAAAGTTGACTTCCCAATGACTACAGAACATAATAAATCACAACTGCTTTTACATCAAGAAGGCTAGAATCACAAACAAAAAGACTAAAAGGAAAAATCAATATCATTTTTGGAAGGGAACTTTATAATCATAAGTGGCATCATCAACTTACTTCTCAAGGCTTCTTTATCATCATAAGAGGATAAAACAAGATTCACTCCAAAGTCTTCAACCTTTTGGGCAAATTTCCTTTTGTCATGAAACCATTGCATGTTGAAATCCCTATTGCTATCATGCTCGGTAAGCCTTCAATCCAAATTCAACCAAAAATAAGACAAACAATCCCAACCATATAAAAAATTCAGATTGTTTAATATGAGCTTATATAGGTGTAGAAGTGATTGACACAATGTTTAAAATAACTGAAGCCTAAATGGGTATGGAAACATGGAATTAGGAAATGGTACAAAAGATTGTATAGCAAAAACAAGTAATGTCAGCACAAACCTAAAGCAAAATCACCAGCGTAAATACTCTACCCCAGGCCTGCTAACCAATCCCCCTACGGGTCCAAATTACGTTCCATCAGATCTCACAAGTCCTGTTTGTCATGGCGAAGCTATCCGTGCCAGCCACACGATCGTGAGGGGGCTGTTTTCAATTTTCGCCCCCAAAACGCCCTTTTTTTACTAAGTTTAGGGCGTATTCGGCTCTAACTCCCAACCTACGGGTCCGAATTACGTTCCGTCAGTTCTCACAAGTCCTATTTTTCATGAAGAAGCTATCTGTACTAGCCACACGGTCGTTTGGGAGCTGTTTTGAATTTTTGCCCTCGAAACGCCCTTTTTCGACTAAGTTTAGGGCGTATTCGGCTCTAACTCCCAACCTACGGGTCCGAATTACATTCTGTCAGATCTCACAAGCCCTATTTGTCATGGCAAAGCTATCTGTGTGAGCCATATGGCCGTTCGGGGGCTGTTTTGAATTTTTGCCCCCGAAACGCCCTTTTTCGACTAAGTATAGGGCGTACTCGGCTCTAACTCCCAACCTACGGGTCTGAATTACGTTCCGTTAGTTCTCACAAGTCCTATTTGTCATGGAGAAGCTATCCGTGCGAGTCACATAGTCGTTCGGGGGCTATCTTGAACTTTCGCCCCCGAAACTCCTTTTTTCAACTAAGTTTAGGGCGTATTCGGCTCTAACTCCCAATCTACGGGTCCGAATTACGTTTCATCAGTTCTCACAAGTCCTATTTGTCATGGAGAAGCTATCCGTGTGAGCCACAGAATTGTTCGGGGACTGTTTTGAATTTTTACCCTCAAAACGCCCTTTTTCGACTAAGTTTAGGGCGTATTCGGCTCTAACTCTCTACCTATGGGTCCGAATTACGTTCCGTCTGTTCTCACAAGTCATATTTGTAATGGGGTAGCTGTCCATGATAGTCACACGATCGTTCAGGGGCTGTTTAGAATTTTTGCCCCCGAAACGCCATTTTTTGACTAAGTTTAGGGCATATTCGGCTCTAACTCTCTACCTATGGGTCCGAATTATGTTCTGTCAGTTGTCACGAGTCCTATTTGTCATGGAGAAGCTGTCCATGAGAGTCACATGGTGGTTCGGGAGTTGTTTAGAATTTTTTCCCCTTAATGCCCTTTTTCGGTTAAGTTTAAAGCGTTTTCGGCTCGAACTCCCACCATACATGTGCTAATTACATTCCGTCTACTGTCACAGGTCCTATTTGTCATGAGGAAGCTGGTTGTGACATCCGTATGGTGGTTCAGGGGCTGTTTTGCATTTTTGCCTCCTTAACACCTTTTATTGATTAAGTTAAAGGTGTTTTTGGCGCTAACTCCCAAGTAAGTAGCATATGAACTATTTGCTGGTGCAGCAGCAGCTAAAAATAAGACTGGTTAGAGCCCTTTTTATGTTGGGCATGTACTTCATTTCTCTCTAGTCCCCTCTTATTCTGCTGTCCAGCAATGGGTCAAATAACCATCTCAATATCCTTCCATTTTTGGGTAGATAGGTTAGTAATTTCAAATAGTAGTCAGAGCTCCATTAACATGATTACATGAACAAAGAACATAGCATGAGTTAAGCTGAAATTAGAACTATCATACTGCTCATGCCTCTTGTATATTGGACTCGTTAAGGCTATAATTCACTATGACCTTTTATTGTACCCTAAACAAAATACAAAACTCGAATAACAATACCTTTTTGATTTCATGCTTCTAATTTTTTTTTCCCTCTCTTTTCTTCCAATTAAGGCTTGTATGGATAATAAATTCATATTGTTGTTTTGGTACTCTACTGTATTCCTTTAACCCTCTCAATTTTTCTACTCACTACTAAAAATTAATTATTGTGTATGAGTGGTTAAGGCCAAGTTGTTTCTCTATGCTATCCAACTAGAATCTTGTGTATTGAATTTTTTTCTTCTTGTTAAATCATTATATAATTTTAATTTTATACACTCACTTATACATTTTTATACAACTCTGCCAATGATTGAAAATTGCAAATGCAATGCACAGCCCCCACCATTGTCCCATCTCGTAGCTTATGTTTACTTCTAGGTTGACAAGTTGTTGGTTAAGCCAACTTGTGACGCCCCGAAATAATTCAACATGAATTACCCATAAATAATTAACATTTAACTAGCAATAACAGTAACCTACCCAACTTTACATAAATACTAATGAGTCTTTAAAAAGGTTTTACATCCGGGTATACATTCATCAATACAAAAATATGAATCTATAGCATGTAAAGCATCTATTCTCAAAACAATACAATGCCCTTAAGGGCTTACATCTTCCAAGGCATAAGCCTGGTTACACAAAAAGATGGTTTCTGCAACCCACACACATTAGCCCTTGGCTCAAAAGAATTACACAAAAATACAAATTAATTTCTATTTTGGAAAGAAAAAAAAATCTGAAAAGTCAACCAAACATAAAAAAATTTACTAAATAAGTTTTGAAATCCAACACTCTGTTTTGTAAAATTTGTTTTCTATTTCGTTTTTATTTTTTTATTTTTACTAAAATTTGCTTCTTTTTTTTTATTTGTTCACTATTTTTTTTTTTTTGGTGGTAAAATCAACACTAGTTTGGTAAAAAAATGCAAGTGTAAATTTCAGATACTTTCATTCAGATTTGCATCAAATACAAATTGTTTTCTTATGCTTCTAGAAATTACAAATATTTCAATATCAAAATTTGTCATTTAACGTAATTGATAAATAAAATAAAATTTTTAACTATCCTCTTATATATCAATGAAATTATTAGAATTGTTAATTGAAATATATTCCTAACATCATTAAAAATTGTTACTCCTCCATTCCAAAATATTAGTCCGTTATTCTATTTTTTATTATCCCAAAATATTAGATCATTTTCAAAAATTAAGGATTAAAGTGACATGAATTTCCTATTTTTTCCTTCTTTTAAATTCATTAACATTAATATTTTTGAAGTGTAATAATTGCATTACCAAAGTGTAGTTTACGAAAATTAATCAGTGTGTTTGGTTTCAGTTTTGAAAAAATAAAGTTTTTTGTTTTTTGTTTTTTTTTTTTTGTTTTTAGTGAATATTTTTTAAATATTAAGTATTTTTTTTAGATACACCTTACTTAAATGTATCTAAAAAATAAAATATTTGTGAAAAAATATTTTTAAAAATTAATGAATACACAAAAATACTAAAATTATACTGAATTTTTATATTTTTGGTATTTACTGAATTTTTTAAAGATTTTGTTTCATGAAAATTATATTTTTTTAAATGTATTTATGTTAGGTGTGTCTAAATATTAAAAAAAATTGCAAAAAAATATTTAAAAAATTCAGTAAAAACAAAAAAATTCGAAAAATAAGGAAGTAGAATTTTCTGAAAAGTGTTTTCAAAAAACTGAAAACAAAAATGGTGAATATTTTTAAAGTGTAATAATTGTACTATCAAAAAAAGATAGATTCTCCAAAAATGACTAATATTTTGGGACAAAGGAAGTAATTGAATGGTTGATTAATGAAATTAGTTAATTGTTATACGATTAGAAATTTTAAGGTGGGAGATGTAATTTCTAAAATCACTATAGATAATTAATATTTTAACAAAATCACATAGAGTATTTGTAATTTATCCAAAAATTTTAAAAAATAAATCATCATTTTCATATATGATTCTCCCTTTTAGGACCAAAATAATTTTTGAAATTTTAAAAATATTATAATTATTATTTTTTGTGTCAAATTAACATTGAGTTCTCTTTTGGGGAAGAGCAAATGAAAATAATGCCAATGTGTCCCAATACTTACTTGCCGAAAAATCATAATTTAATATATCACTTAGTGTAACAATATATGTTGTAACATTACAATTTTAAAACTATGGATCCTATCCATTATACAAATTATAAAGACCTAAAATTTCTAAAATTATATCATATCATTTATTAATAGATTAATTGATATATCAATTGATGTGAATTGCTTTATTCAAATTTGTTTGGATAATCACAGGTTTATATTGTCTACATTGGAGAGCACCTCGGGGAAAAGACTTATCACGAAATTGAAGATGCTCATCACTCCTATCTACTATCTATAAAGAGTTCCAAACAGGAAGCTAAAGCTTCTCTGGTTTATAGTTACAAGAAGGTCATCAATGGCTTCTCTGCATGGCTCACCCCAGATCAAGCTGCCAAGTTAGCTGGTAAACAACCATGTTATAATTACAAATACATCCCTTGAAGTTTGTTTAAAATATAAATTACTTCTTATAGTTCTCGAAATTACATCCCACCCTTCAATTTTCTAATCGCATAATGAATGATCTCCGTTATTAATAAATTATGAAGTCAATTAACAATTTCTAATGATTTAAAAATATATTTCAATTAACAATTTAGGTAATTTTATTGTTGTATATGAGGGCAGTCAGGATTTTATTTTTTCTTTTAATTCTGTTAAATAAAATTTTTTTGATAAGAAAATATTTGTAATTTTCAAAACTACAAAGGGCAATCCGTATTGTAAGTAAATTTCGAGAGATGTGTTTGTAATTTATCCTAATATTTTTAATAAAAATAATTGTTAATATTTTAAACTTCTTTTGCATAACCATTTTAAGAATGATAAGCATATTTAAATTAGTTAAATACCCCTTTTTGTGTGTGTGTAGTTTCCGTTTAGTGCCTTAACAAAAAATTCATTCTTTCTGTTTTTAAAGATGAATTTCCTAAGCATGGTTTTTTAATGCCTATACGTATGACATTGAAGGGGTGTTAAAGTTTGTAATTTTAATATAAAAATAAAAATATGTTTATTATATATTTAATATATTAGTTTTGTGGTTTCATTACAAAATCAATGCACACCAGTTATCAAGTTTTCAAAATTAAATGTATAGTTAAACCTTTTTCAAATTTATGTTTCTGTTACAAAACTAGCTTTATACTATTTTGAGTTCTATTTTATTTTTTATTTTTATTTTTTTTAACTTTTGATCAACAAAAAAAAATTTCATAAAAAATATGAAATTAAAGATACAAAAAAATGATATATATCAAAAGAGATTCAAAAGCACAAATACCTCTACTACTACTACTACTTGATATTTGAGTTCTATTTGATATTAATAGAAGGAAGATGTTATTTGATCACTGTTGTTCATCCCGCTTACCAACAAAAGCTATCATCTACCCGTGTGATTATTACTAGGAATGGCAACGGGCCGGGAACCACGCTCCCCGTCCCCGATCCCCGAAGATAACAAAATCTCCGCCCCTGCCCCCGATCCCCAGTGGGGGAGCCCATCACCCTCCCGTCCCCGTCCCCTAACGGGGATCGGGTTTCCCCGACCCCGAAATATCCCCGGGCTTTTTTTTTTTTTTTGAATTTTGTTCAACAAAACACTGACTAATCAATATAATATCACAAATCAACAAACCAGATCAGAGTACAAATCAATTTTGTGAACAATACAGATAATTAAACAAATTAAAAAAAATTATTCTGAACAACACAGATCTGAGTACAGATCAACAACAACAACATCAGATCAAAGAGAGGACAGATCTAACAGATCGACGGTGTTGGCGAGATCGATGGTGACGGTGGCTGTGGCGGGGCCAGCGGTGGTGGCGGTGATGTCCTCGTGACTGTGAGAGAGCTGAAAGAGAGAGAGAGAGAAGAACGAGAGAGTTAAGAGAGAGTGAGAGGTGAGAACGAGAGAGTGAAGACAGTGAGAGAGTCGAGAGAGAAGATACGAGTGAGAGAGTTGAGGAGGGCGGTGGAGGAGCGGTTCTATCAGATCGGCGGAGGACGGCGGCGAAGGAGATCAGTGTGTGAGGAAGCTGTGACTTTCTTCTCTCTCTCTCTCCCTCTCTCTCACGCGAATGAAGCTGTGTGTTTGTGTGATTGTGTGAGGAAGGGGACGAGGATTATAGTAATATATACAAACAGGGGTATTACAGTAATTTTATTTCAAGGAAAAAACCGGGGACGGGGACGGGGACGAGCCGGGTCCGGGGTTGTGAAAGCTATCCCCGTCCCTGGCCCGAAACTAATCGGGGATTTAATTTCAAATACCATCCCCGTCCCCACGGGGATATTTTTCGGGGAAAAACCATTGTGATCGGGGTCGGGGGATCAGGTCCCCGTCGGGCCGGTTTTAAATTGCCATCCCTAATTATTACCTTTTCTATTGAGACAATTTCCTTTATTTTATTATATTTTGGGTGACTTTAGTTTGGGATGTTTTGGGTAAATGATAAAAAGTCAACTTTTTGGTTTTTTTAACTTTTTTAGTTAAAAAAGTCACCAAAAGGCTAGTCTTTTTATTATAAAAAAGTCAAAAAGTCACAAAAAAATTAAAAAGTCAAATTTTTACCAACTTTCTAAAACACCACTTTATTGAAGGAATGCTGTGAAAAAATTAAATTTATCTTATAACTCGTTCAGTTTATAATATTGCAACATATGAATTGTTTAGAGATCAAACTCCTTCGTCTCCAAAAGTTTTTAAAATTAAAAAAAAATGTTGCAAAAACATTAGTATACCATTTTCAATCATGATGTAAGTTTTCACGAAAAGGCTGTCCGAAAAAGTTGAAAAAATTACCTATAGCAACAAATTAAAAAAATGTCGCGAATAAATCAATTTTAGGAACAATAATTTTGTGCTAAAAGGTTTACTGTTTTTAGACGAAATAGTAATTTATTACTAAATATCCAATCATATCATTAAAATTACAACAACGATATTTCCTTACTCAAAGTACTTTTGTTCGTAAATTTTTTTATAGTAAAACTTAGGTCTCTTTTGCAACATCTAAAAAAATCAATCTATTAGCTTATTTGAGTTACATCATCTCTTTAATTTTTTGCACGTATTTTCATAATAAGTAAAAAAATCAATTTATAAGTCATACCAAAACGATCCTTAATTTCTTATACTTTTAACACATTCACGAGGGGACGAAAAATATTTTGTGTTCTGCATTCAAATTTTTTAGTGGTCGTGAACCTGAACGATACATACTATAAGTAAACTAAGTTTTATCTTGGATGTATTGTTACTGCTGCTGGTTTGGTTGGTAGCTCATTGTTTGTTACTGTTGCTGTTTTGTGGATTTGTTGCATGTCTTGCTATTCTGTATTTTATCTTTCTTTCTTTGGTTGTTTTTGATTGATTTCTCACCAATCTCGGGTTAAGTACTCGCAAATGATTGTGCTTTCTTTATGGTGCCAACCTAGTTGGGATTGTTGAGGTTAGCTATGATACTTTGTGCACTGCTTTGTTGATGTAAATTTTGCATATATTGTGGTTTTTTTCATCAATAAAGTATTGTTTTGCTGATAAAAAAAAAAAAAAGTTTTATCTTGGATGTGCTTTAGTCTGTTAACAACGCAACTCTAGACTCTGAGAGGCCAACTTTTCTACTTCTACATTTAGTGCAATATTTTTGTGTTCTTGAATTTTATGCTTACTATTTTATTTGTTTAGTTTAGTATATGTAATTTCTAATTCGTTTGTGAATTTTACTATAGAAGTTCCAACAAACCTAGTATGAAATGGATTTTTTTTTTAACAGAGAGGGAGGAAGTGATTTCGGTTTTCAAAAGCGAGCCCAAAAGATACAGTCTTCAAACAACAAGATCATGGGATTTTGTGAACTTGCTTGAACAACAAGGACAACATGATTTCACCAACACAAACAATCAACAACTATTGGACAAAGCCAACTATGGAAAAGATGTCATTGTTGGAGTCTTGGATAGTGGTAATTTCAATTCTAAATTACATGATATGTATATACATATATATATATATATATATGTGTGTGTGCGCGCGCGTGTGTGTGTGCGCGCTGTGTGTGTATAAAATATAATTTTAGGGATTTTGATGAACTAGATGATTTGGTGATGTTTGATGAATCAGAAATTCAAAATGTATTCTTTGACTCATTGTTCATATATATGTATGTGTGTGTGTGTGCGCGCGCGCGTGAGCGCGCAGTGACAGAGTTAGGAAATTAAGTTAGAGGGAGCACTTATTAATTATAATTTTTTGTTTTAAAAAAAAATCGTAAACAACATTAAGTTAATAATAATTTTATGATATAAATTTAAACAAAAAAAATTGCATATAGACACCACATTTTTTACCGTCCTCAAGACTTGGACGTCATCGTTTGAACACTCGATGATCATCCAAATTTGTGTTCATTTTGAGTACCTGAAGTTCTTGGTGGAGTGCCTCGCCTTCGGACCTCTTAACTTGTCTGTTTTGTGCTTGATTGTGTACCAAGAGCTTGTGGCATTGTTTTTGAGGGAAGAGGGTGGCCTTTTGGCCAGCCCTACAACCCATCGGCCAAGCCCTATGCCCATCGTCCAGGCCTTGTTCCCATCGGCCATCAGTGGTGGCCGATTGGCCTCACTGAGGGCCGGTCGACCTTATTAATGGCCGGTCGGACACATGTGTTGGCCGAGGGCAATTTTTTCAGCTTTTTTAGATATTTTATGTGCCAGCTGTCGCACACTGAGTGTATCCTCCGTACACATATATGGATGGATTCAAACAAGCTTCTAGCTTGTCAAGGAAGCTTTGGCTTTCTTGTTCTATATAAGGGGAGGTGCCTCCCCCTTTCCAGGTGTTCCAAAAATTTTAGAGTTGAAAATTCCCTCTCTCTCTCTCTCTCTCTCTCTCTAGAATTCTCTCTCTATATATATTTTAGTGCTTGAAAGTGGTATTTTTCTACACTTTTGCAAAGGGACTCTTAATCAAGCACCTCTATCTTGTTGTTGAGGCTCTTGGAGGTTTTATTTGAGCTCTCAAAGCTTGGTTTTTGGCTCAGAAATGCATGTTTTGCTATGGTTCTTCAAGGGTGAGTAGTTACCCTCTTTAAGCTTTGTTTTGCTTAAGTATTTGGCCACCTTTGCATGCTATTTTTGGCCTAAGTTTCAACTGTAAAAACGTCTGTTTTCAAGTGTTAAAAATAGTGGTTTAAGGCCTTGTTGGGGTTAGGGGTGTCCCCCCCTCCCCTCTTTTGTGGCTTGTTTTCTATGCTTTGTGCTATCTCTTGAGGCGTTTGAAACAATTCTTTTTTGGCCTTAAAACCACTGAACTCCAGGGGATTTTTAGTTGTAGAAAACCTTTTTTGAGGTCCAAAGTAGCAGAGGGTGGCCTCCCCTCCTTGGATCTCTTTGCTATGCCTTGTTAGCATTCGAAAGTGGCTTGTTTTTGTGGTTAATGTAGGCTTGGTTCAAGCATGTTTTAGCCTATATTTTAACATGTTTAAGCTCTATTTTGGGCTGTCTTGGTCACTTGTTGCTTGCATCTTACACCTGTAGTGTAATTTTGATTGCTAGCCTTGCATGCCTAAGGTTTTAGCTCATCATCCTAGCATGTGTTAGCTTTGCTCGAGCACATTTTTGCCACTGATTTAACATGCTTGAGATCTGTTTTAAGTGGTCTTAGTCATATATGCTTAGCTTTGTATAGCTATAGTGTAGCTGGGTTTCACTAGCTTTGTGTTTGAGGCCCCTGGCATGCTTTACTTGTGATGTTTTCATGATATGTCATCATTTGATATGTGATTTCAGAGCATGTTTCACTGTCATACTCTCATATGTATCACTCTCTGAATGTGTTTGAAAGTTAAGCTTTGTGCCTTGCTTGTAAGCGAATGAATGAGCATGCATTTCTTACTTTTTGTGCCTAAGTTTTAGTGTGTTTTGGCCACTGTTTTGGAGTATCTATGGTCTGTCCATAGCTAGTTTGACCATTCGAGATTGATAGTGCATGCCTCATGAGTAATGTTCTTCACTTGCTTTAGTGCTCTTGGCCCCCTTTAACATGTCTTGCATGCATTGCTTGCATGATTGAGTCTTGTGCATGCCGCTTTAGCATTGAAAGATCAGCATGTTGTTTGCATTGCATTGTGTTTGGATCGGATGTTAATCCAAACACAAGAAATGTGAGATGTTTCATACTCCAAGTGATGAAACGTGTCACATTTCTTGGTCCCCGACCCTCTTGACCATGCATGATAGAGGTGAAGGCTCTTATGTGTTGTTTGTGCATTCACTAACATTGTGCAAGCTTGGCTCTTCAGCCATCATGCATTGAGATGCGTGGTTAGTGGCTTGAGAGCCGAGTACTACGCTCCTTTGAGCTTGAAACATGATAAGGATGGTAGTTGTACACACATTTCCTTGCAAATATACTGTCATGCCTCTGTTTGTGCTCTGTTGTAGCAAAAGGAGAAATTTCAGGAATCAGTGGCCAACCGGGCACATGCTCAAGCCGACCGGCCACCCAAGCCAGCCGACCGGCCACCAATACTGGCCAATGGCCATCACTTCTAGCCGATCATCCCTCAACATGTTCCTGGGATCAAACAGAAGCAGTCTGGAAGCTGGCACAATTTTCAGAGGTCCAAAAGAGTGGAAACAGAGGCATGTTGAGGCAAGGCGGTGGATTTTCGGGTGAAGCCAACCGAGCATGCATATCCCCCTCGCTTCCTGAGGCCGTTCATTCCAATTGCTTAGCTAATTAGTTTATTAGCTTAGTCATTTTTGTAATTGATTAGTTAAGCGTTTAATTAATTAATTCGGTTTGTAATTAATTAGTTTAGATTAGCTAGTTATTTAATTTCAATTGTGTTGTAATTAATTAGCAATTTAGTTAATTAGTTAGTAGATTAGCTTAGCTTTTATTCATTCGGACCCTCCGTCGAGAGGGCACAATGTTGTAATAAGGGTGCGTACGTGTGTGCATGTCTTCCAACCCCCATTTCTTTCTTCCTTTTACTTATCAGCTTTTGATCGTTAGTTTAGGGCATATCTCAATTAGCATACCTTATGCTTTTCATGCGTGCATCGTTCATTTGTCTTACATGCACCGGGCTCGGTGCATCATTCAAATTGCATCGTATTTTAATACACTTTTTTGAATACGTGTTCCAAAGAATGTTATCAAGTGTTGCATTCATATGCCATCTTAGATAGTCGAGCCTATTAGTTGCATTATTGCATGCGTTGCATTAGGCATCTTCGACATAGCTAGGATCATACATGATTTCTAACTAGTTTTCTGTTTTGGCTCGTAGTATACTGTAAGTGTTTACGCTTTAGCATACTTGCATGAGTGTGAGTGTTGCCATGTTTAGCATGCTTTCCATGAGGCTATTTGCTTTAGTGTTTAACTGCATGAATGCATGTGGGTGAAGGCTTTATTGCTTGAATTTAAACAATTCATCAAATGTGAGTTTTAAGCCCACTTTGCGGAGTGGCAAATCATGTTGTTTTAAGCCCACTTGAGGGTGGCAAATCGGCGTTTTAGCCTATTTGCGAGTAGCACTTCCAAACCATTTTCGAAAAATGAACATGAGATGTTTTGTTCCAAATCGAGTGATTTAGTCTATACTTGTGTGCTGTGCACATCACATAGTAAAGTTAGCTAATAAACCGGAATAAGAACACATGTGTTTTCAAAGTAGCATATCATTTTTAGTAGAGGCCGATCCTTTGATTGGGCGAGCGGGGGTGCTCATTTCAGGACCTTCCCCTCTCGTACCCAAGTTCCCGAGCTGAGGCAACTTTGGTGATGACAGACACGTGGCCTTAGGCACGAGTCAGGGTTTCCTAAATTTCTCAAAATAAAATATTTAGGTGGCGACTCTGAAACCTAGCAAACCAGTCCATGTTTGGCGCTTTTTGATTAAAATCGATTTTCCAAAACGATTTGCCGGATTTGGACTCTTTGGTGATTTACCAGTCTTACATTGCACTTTGTGAGATTAGATTCAAAACCGTGATAGGAGTCTGAGTTATAGTAGGTAGAACCCAATTCGCGCCCTCTCCAAAAGGGGGGCCGAGCAGAGAGAGTTCGGGGCAGTCTACAGTTTCTGGCGACTTTGCTGGGGATTTAGAGAACTTGACTCGAACTCGTGATATGTTGTTTTGTCTACACTTATACGTTTCTTTGCATTGCATTTGCATTGGTGCTCTTAAGTCACAGTGTTTGCCATCTGCTATTCCTGAACAGTTTGCTGAAGGCTTGCTTGGAAAAGCATGCCATAAGGCTGACCGGTTGCGGGCTCTGCCACGACGGAAACACAAACCTCAGTTTTTACCGAGGCACCCTTTTCGACCATTCGGCCTAGTCGCATATCAGAAACCATAGAGACCATTCCAAGCTAGGACAGGCCGCTTACTCGAATGTAGGTTGTTTGAAGCCGCAGCGTGCGTAGTGAAACCCTAGCTCCCGACAAAATAGAACAGGGAAACCCTACCCCACCATAGGGGTGTTTTGGCTCTCACTTGCTTGATACATGCTTTTAGAGTGAAACTCTGCAGGAATATATGTATCAGTTGCAAGTCTGAGTATCGACCTGAGGGTATCAGTTTTTAGGCAGAATTTTGGGCAGAATTCAGTAAAGAGCACAGTCATTCAGCTATGCTCATATTTGTTCTGGTGAAATCAGGCTGAGATGCTGTCTGTTTTCTCTTTTTCAAGGAGGTAGTCTTGAAACCATAGCTTCAGAAGGCTTCGATACCCCCCTAGTACATTGGACTTGTGTTGATAGACTTTGTCAGAACAGAGATTCAGTTGAAAAGGGCAACCAGTGTTTCCTTCGCCATTGGAAAGGCAAAGAAAGGCCAGTCAGGGGTCACCGGTCCAACTGATCTGACAGTCACCAGTCGCATCACCTTTGTTCAAACTCAGTAGACTGTGATGGCACAGAGTCCAGAAGAAGTTGTGGCCATGATATCAGCG